ATTACATTTAGAAACATTTATAAAATCTGGATAATTATTCCCCTCACGTTTACTAATTGTCACATTTTTCTCAAATGATTTGACTGCTTCATTTCACTCACCGAAGGCTCAATATTAACTGATCCATTAAAACAGCATGATGCGATGCACTACTAGAACCTGGATTTGAAGTGTCATTGTAAATAATCCTGTTGACTATTTCATTTTTGTTACTTAAACTGTCAGCAACATAACTTTCTCCAATTGTGGCTGATTTCCACCCACTATGTTTCTTGATTGCTAATACATTAACTCCTGTATTAGCCAGTAACGTTGCCGATGTTCTTCGGAATGAATGACATGTATATGTTTCAGGATGTTCTAGCTTCAAAAACTGTGCAATCTTATTAGGAATCATAGAAAGGGTATTCTTGCCGACTGGTTGCTTTTAACATCTACCTGCCTGATAGCGCATAAAAAGCGTGAAATTTCAGTTGTAATTTCCAATCCAATCTTGATATATTTCCTAAAAATTTCTAGGTGAGAAACAGAACCCAGACGAGAAGAAATTGTAAACGTACGTGACATACCATTTTTAGAAACTAGAATTGTAACTACAATAATGGCGTCGAAATTTTTGAAATTGACTTCGTTCAAAGTATGTTTGCATAACTCATCAGAACGGCATGCTCCTGCAATGCTAAGACCGTCAATGCCTTCATTAGCAAATATGTGTTATCGGGTGCCTGAACAAGAAAATCGTTGACTTGTTCTCTTCTCTCTTGTAAAAACGTTCGACTTTTTAGGTGTATATCCGTTATTCTTACGTATTTGCTATATCCACGTTCATCTCTATGAAAATAGTTGACTTAATCATTGAGTATTCACTCCACAAACTAGCCGGTGACTAAATTTCTTGACTTCTCTATGAAATATGCTAGCAGTGACATTCCGGCACTATTCTTTGAAATTACTATACGCTTGTCCAAAGCGCACTTTCATCTTCTCGGCAATAAAAATTCGCAGGCAGCATTTGCTGCACTTTCTATTTGAAAATCACTCATTTAGAAATAATAATTCAAAACCAGCAAAATTGCAACTTTTATGTAGCTTTGTTTATAAACACCTTAGAAACGACAAAATCCAAAGGCGAATTTGTAAGATTTCGAATAATGTAAAAAGAATTGCTTAAGAAATGTTAAAAAAAATTAAACCTAATCTTTATTCCATGAGCCATATAGGACTGTGGGAGCAGATAAAATGTTATTGGTACACCACGCCGCTGTTAAGTATAATTTACCAAATAATACCTACCTCCTTTATACTATTTTCAAATGTAAAAGTTTCCATTGTCAAAATCAAAGGAGGGCATCGAAAAAATTGCAAGTTGCTACTACTAATTATTTAAAAGTTACAGACGTTTAAATCGTACAGAAATATTTCTGGTAATGGCAACTTTCTTGTTTACTTTCTAATTATAGGTTGCAATACGTTTGTTAAACTAGACATTTTGATGAAAAGTTTATGATTAAATATTATTCAGCGATGTAGATAAGCTGGTTCACCCTGTAACTGCCCTGTCAATTTGAATTTGACTATCAACAATGTTAGCAAAGTTTGAATTTTTATTAATATTTTTATAACATTTGAGATCTAATAACACTGTCGAGAGTAATGTTAACTAATTAATTGATACAAATGCAATCGAGAAATAAGTTGTACTGTTTTACACAAGAGTATGTTTGAAAGTAACCGCCGAAGAAGCCGAGGAAAAAATGAAAGCTCTAATGGCGGCCTTAAGTAGAGGAAAAAAATACTAAATTACAGAAATCAGGAAGTAATCTAATAATCAGGTGATTATTAACAAACTTTTCAATGATGTTATTTCTTTAGTATAATTTAGGTAAATTCTTTCAATTAATTTGAAGTATTTTAACAATTAAAGTGTGTCATATTTTGGGAATAATACTTTGAAATGTAACATCCAGTCTTTTGGTTACTGAAATAGTGTTGAATGACGAATGTATCTTTTTTCTTTGTTTTCTTTTTGATAAATTAACACAGTTGCCTCAACATATGGAAATAAATAATTATCAATATTAGATTTTTGCATGCCAGCTCATTTGTGTAATGCCGGATCTACACTGACGCGAACAGTGTTAGGTTAGGTTAGGTCGATACTGTCGAAAACAATAATGACTAACACGGTTCGCTACAGAATGAAAAAAGTATTTTTTTTTTTAAATGATCTTTTCATTAATTTTAATTTATATATACTTTTTTAAGTTAATGTTTGTAACGAGAAGCAATGAAACAATCCCAAGTAAAATGTGGAAACAAAAAAATCTCTTCCTGAAGTACCAGCAGTTAGCAATCTTGTCTGTGAGATATTTTGATAGGATCTGTTTGAATTAGCTTAATAAAGAGTAAAACATATGAGAACTAATAATAGAACATAATAATAATAACACTTATATAGATGCAATCAAATATGTGATACAAAAACTATAAACTTTATTATTATCTTAATTGTTAACTTTTAAAGTTCATCTTAAACTTCAAGAAGTGTTTTCTAGGGCAATTACGTTCGATGTTTATAAATTCACTACTGTTTTTGTTTTTACTTTATTGGTATTATCTGGCTGTACTACTTTGTAAGTTTTCAATCTCAGCCGACGATAGCGGTTTTTTACGTAGATCTAATTTTAAGTATTTTTTTATTTTGTGGGTCAAACGGAAAAGTAAACAAGAAAAGATTGACCTCTGTCACAGAATCAAAATGTGCCGAGATAATAATGGATCGAAAACAAATTTACTTCAGTGAAACACGTTGTATTCAAATGTGAATCATTTTACTGGATCATGAAAGAAAGTAAAGAAACAAAGGAATTTAGGTAATACACTGCAAATAATTCGTAATATGCTTATTGTGTGCTTATTTTATCTGACTCTGTTGACAAAAGACAACATATATATTATGTTGTTACATAACTATTGTAAAAATTGCAAAATATTGTATCAAATATGTAAAAGAATATGTGTGGATTATGAAGCAAAATTAATTTTAAATCATCAACGTCGATGAAATATAATAGTGATGACTAAAGCTGTCAGAGAGAGCCACAATTCAATTTCGTGCCAAGCGGGCCAACCGGGACATGCGTGAGCTGTTGCCTCATAATGCTTTTCACGTTCACGTCACGCTAGTATACTGTTGATTTCTTATCATGCAGATGTTGCCCAATTAATTGCTGTCCATTGGTGTTCATGGTGGTGTATTGTAGACAATTTAATTTGTTGCTTTTTAATAAATAATGCGTACGCCTATGTCCCGCGGCTCAGTTCTGACAGATCTACTGATGATAGTGCAGAAAACAGGACAAAGATTATGTTGTATTAGTAATTATACGAATTGTCATAAGAAACAGTAAATTTTTTTATGAATATTTGTAGAACTATATCGATCTTTTGTAAATATTTTAGTAAATGACGGTTATTATTATTCGATTGACATGACTGAACCCATGTAAAAATTGTAAGTGGTCGATACTACTCTTTCATAATGGATGCTAAGGAAACGATTTTGTAAATAAACTCCTCTAGTTGAACTCGTTATTGTTGTTCTTAAAAGTTTTACTTAAAATATCAATTTAAAAATATTCGAGTGAGTTTTAAAAATCTTCTTCAGAAGATTCACAAATTACACAGGCCGCCGGCTAAGTAATATTGCAACACACAACACACGTGCACAAGATGCACAGGGTCGTAAATTTTTGATTAATTTTCTAGAAAACAGAAGCATTTAGACTATCAGTTGCTTAATAAAAGTTGCTCATTTTCGTGCCCTCTATTACCCTTTTCAAGAGTCGCACTTATTTCAGAAACACCCTGTATTGGTTATATGTTGGTAATGAATTATTGCCGACGAAAGGAGATACTTGAAAAATATAGTTGAAATTTATAGAAAATCATTTTTAGGTCACCAACAACAGCATTATGTTTGTAGCACATGGTCATTAATACCTTTAGGGAAATATCAAGCGAAATACCTTGGGTTCTCCAATCCAGAAGGGTATACGAGTCATAGGTTTAGTTAAGATTTGTTTAGAATTGTTGCTGAAAATTGTATTAATTCAATTAACGTTAATTGCAACATTGCTAAAAATTAACATTGTTAAAAATGAACCTTTTAACTGAAGCACTGAAGCTGTGCAATAGAAACTTTTATTGCATATGCCTTTAAAAAAGCATTTTTTTACCTCAAATTAATTTAAGAAATGTCACTATTGACATGATAGTAATTAAATAAATTAATAGAATCATGTCATAAAAATACTGTAAGAGTAGAAAAATAACTAATTTTGGATTTTATTGTGATTAAAAGCCCCAAAGTTGCTTTTTTAAACGTGTCTCCTGAAACTGCATATTATTTTTAATAAAAATGCACTAAAACACTTTTCAGACGCGATTTAAGTGACAGCGAATTAACATTTTCCGTCAGCACGTGCTGAAATCCAGCAGCTTTGCTTTCGAGTCAAGTCTGAAAATACGACCACGTTCCGAATGCCATTCAAGCCTAGGCGATTCTAATCTCTACGTGACTATTACGTAAGAATAGCCGGTGCAAGTGGAAGCTGTTCTGGATTAGCGATGTTAAATGTGTGTCTCGTTAGACACGCTTTTAGAACTGACCTTAACAAGGCCGTCTTCGACGAAGAAGAAGCGTATTTTTTACATATTTCCATTCAGCATTTTCTAAATTTAAATCTGTAATAAATAGTTTTAGAGGCAATCCGTACTTGACATTTCTGTTTTAATAGACATTCATTACTGGACACTAATGAAAATTGTCTTATTTCTTAAGTTTTTCATATAGTGAGTTATAGTTTGGTATGCTTTAAGACAGATTTAAAATGGTAACTGATGAAATTTATACAATGAAACTGGAAATAAAGATACAATTTGTCACATAAATGTCAAAACAAAAGCGTTTTTCCATATCTCCTAGTATCTTCACTTACCTTTTTGAAGGCGTAGTTTCACATAGACATTTGCAGCGGTATCCTGAAACAATTTTTTCAATAAATCCTTATTCAGAAAATAATTCTAATGGTTCACTAAATTTTACTTTTTACTTTTATTAATGCCCATTGTATACAGGGTCGGAAAGAAGTGGATCTTATTTGTGGAAGGGCGAAATGGGCGGTGACTGTTAGACGCCTTCATTATAGCCATCTTTCTCTATCGCACGGATCTCTATGACTTTCTTTATCGCTCTCACGTAACGGCCGATGAACCATGAGGACTTTCCGACCCTGTATGGTGCGAAATCAAAATATTTAATAAATTGCTAACAACAAAAACAGTTTCAAATATCGGCGAATGGAATGTAATTACAGAGTGATTTATTTTGATGATACAGTTGTTTGTTTGTGAATATTTTGGTTATTAGACAGAAAAATATTTATTTTTTACATGTATGTAAATGAAGATTGTGATTAATAATAGTCTGTAGCTTTTTACGTCGTAGTGGCACTGAAAGAGGAAACAAGAACAAACAGTTTATCATTTTCGTAAACGTATATATAGAGGGTGATTCAAATAACATTCTATCTCTCATATTTTTTCCTTTCTACTAGGAAAAAATGGTAAAAAAATTTTTAGGAAACTTTCTTGTGATGTCAAAGCAATATATAAAAGACAATTGACTGTTGTATGTAGCAGATATTATAAACCAAACTTCTGTTATTTATTAATGGAACACTCTGTATATTTGTTGCTTTTTGGAATTCTCTCCTTTTTCTGATTACAATGGTTATAATAGCAATTTTAAATAATTTTGCTAAGGTTTTAAAAGTTGACAGCATTTATTTATACATCTACAAAAAAAAATTATATCAATTTTCAACATTTTGAATTTTCGATTAATCACAAGTAACTTTTAATCAATATTTGTGTGATACAAAAGCAGTTATGTTGACGCGGTGTACACCTGCTTTTTTGGCCTTTGACAAAATTAATCATAATATATACTTCAGGGAACTTTCTTGTAACAAAATTTGTTTAGAGCTTCTCAATATTTACATTAGGGTACCTCAAGGATCTAACTTGAGGCCGTTGTTATTTCCAACTTTGATTAATAGCTTGTATGGTGTACTTGATTCTTGTGGACTGATATTTGCTGATGATTTGAATTTATAGTTTGCATTATTAACATAACATTGTATTTCAGTTTCATCAGAAGAAATTTAGAAGGAACATGTTTCCTTGATATGATCAATATTTAAACGTGGAATTGTGTTTGTCAGTGTGTTATTAATATTGTTTGTGGTGTGTATGTATAATATGGGCCTGTACCTAACGTATAATTGTACTATACCTATTTAACTTGCCAATAACCAACAAAATAATGTTTTGTTGCAAATAAAATATTTTTTTAATCTGTAATCTTTTTCAGTATTTCTGAAGAACTCATGAGCTGTTCACGAAATTCTGAACATTCGAGATGTCACAACATGTCTTCCTCGCAAGGGGCAGAACCAACACGCCCTTGCTCGTCAACAGAATGTTGAGATTTGAAAAAGCAACTGCTGATATTTTGCATAGACATTCCCCATCCAGCTGCCTGGGTGTAGGGTTGCTTTTACCTTGAAAAAGGATTTCTGAAAGGGTCACTCACCCTTTTTAGTCCAAAGATATATATTACCTTTGTTCGGGGTTATTTTAAGCCAGATTCTATGTTAAAATACATAAATTTATCACAAACTACAAGAACATTAATAAATGTCAGAACTGGTTTTTTTCAGTAAGTTTGCTAATTAGTTCATAATAATTTTAGCCTCTTTTATCATCACCTCAAAATATATTTTTAAAATAAGTTATTTCTTTACAAAAACAAATTAATTAGTGATCCTTTACTAGTCTATAGCAATAAACTTAAAAAGAAATAAAAATCCTTTTCCTGGAAAATTAAGCCTATTAGGAATTTTAATAAGTATAATACTTTGTACTGCTTGATTACTGTTTAATTTTGTTTCTCCAAGCCCTTTTTTGTTGCTTAAATCTTTCTGGACATTAATTATACAAATGGTTTCACAAAGGCTGAAAAATTGTTTATAACTTAGAATAACCTGATGTAATTATTGTTGTCCATGTTTAATGTAGTGCAAAATCAAAATATTTAACAGATTGTTATTAACAACAAAAACAATTTCAAGTCGCAATAAATGAATCTTAAAGACATATATGATTTATTTTACTGATATAGTTGTTTATTTACGAATATATTGTGAAGAGTGAAGAGAATAATATTTATTTCGTAAAAAAACAAAAAAATACAAATATGCAAATGAAGGTTGTGGTTAATCATATTTTTGGTAGGTAGTTTTTATATAGTCGTGGTAGATAAGACAAGTGTGAACTGTTGCAAATTTCAAAACTTTTTAACAATTACGGCTAGAATATTTTTTAAATATTTAAACATAAAGTAATGGCAATAATAATTATTTACTTTGAAAATATTTGTAATTACTTACGCATAACAAATTTAAAAATGATTAAGCGTTTCAGTTATACAAATACATAAAACCTCATTTTTTGTGATAAGCCTGTTCATAGAAAGGATTATATTTAGGCCACAAACTGTATATTTTTTGTCTCTGTAACATAATAATAAAATGCCAGGTCTGTCTATACAACTCGGTTATTTATTAGTTTCTGAAATTATACAAAAACACATTTAACCCTTTGATTATTGACCACCAACCCTTTTTTACAGCTTTTGCGCAATATCCCATAAAATTTTTAAGGTACCTAGAAAACGAATGTATCGTACCCATAACCACAGGAAAGTTTTAGGTATATTTTCAAATATATTTTAAAGAAGTAAATAATTAAGAAAATATGTCGTACTAATGATTTGTTGGTTGTTTATTTAATTTTAGATAAGATTTTTGAGTGACTAACGTTGCATCGAACAAGAATTTAGTTATATTTGGATAGTAATTTATAAAATATTTATATAAATAATAAATATTTTATTTCCATACAGATAGATGTTCTTTAAACTATAATTATGTTACAAAAGTGATACGCAATTAGAAAATAATTCTTGAAGGAAATATTAAAAAGATGTAAAAAATTATCCAAGATACCGATAACATTTTAAGTACTTTAAGTATTTTTATTACTGCATTGGAAATATACTATTTGATATGATTTTTTATAAATATTATTACCAGATATACTCGTGTTTTATCAGTTGTGTTAATACTGGATGAAGCCGTTCTTAAATAATTTAAATAAAATATGCCGCAAAGAAAGAAAAATTAAGACTGTAAGAATAAATAGATGTAAAAATTTTGTGAAACTGAAAACATTTACCACGTGTTTTTAAATGAAGCTGATGAATTAATAAATTATGAATTAAAAAAAAGTGTAAATGAATAAATAAAGTTTACAGGATTTTAAAGATTATTAATAAAAATAATAAATTAAAATATATTATTGCAACACAGTTATTTTTTGTTCTATAAAATGTCGTGCTCGAAATTTTCCTACTGATAATATGTTTTACTTTTTAACGCTTAATCATTTTTCTTGATTGATGATATCGATAAGTGTGTATTTTGCTAAAGTTTAAGTGCTATAAATTAACAGAAAAAACTATTTATCAGCTTGACATTACTCTGTTTTTTATAATAAAAACTGTTAACAACGGTATATAGATAAAACAGAAAAAATAACGATAAGTACTTAAATTATTGTTTTGTAACAGTACAAATTCCACGTTATACTTAACACAAAACTAATGTAGCTTTGCAATAGATGTACATTTAGTTTTAATCTTGTATAACAAACTTTATGTTAATATTGTACAAAGTAGGTAAGTATTTAAGACCTTAATACTAGTAACAGTATTAGTTATACACTGATAACATTCGTTAGTGCGAACGAAAATACATACATTTTGCGTCAGAAATTGTTTTTTAAACGAAACTTAAAAGGTTTTAATAAACAAACAGTCAGCACTAAATTTCCATCATTACATGTGACATATTTTCTCTGACAAGTCAAATTTTAGAATGCCATAATGAAAAACAAAAACAGGAAAAGAAAAATAAAAAAAATAGATACTTCAAAATATACAATAAATTAATTTTTCCATGCTCAAGAGACAATTTTACCAATGGTATTTAAAGAAATTGACTATTTCTTTTCTTTCACAGACTTTAATCTTTTTACCGAAGAATTCTCGAGTTATTTTTTAGTTGTGGTATCGGAACCAGAACTGTTTTTATCTTCTTTTTCTATTTGACTAGTATATCGACATCCGCATCCCTCAGATAGGCTATCTTTCGCTATTTACTCGACAAAACCGAAGTGCATTACAAGAAAAAACAAAATTGTTATTTTTAGATAAGTTATTTATTTAGTGCATTTATTTCTGTTTGTGTGTTTGGTTAATTTTGTGAGAAACTACATCTAGTTCGTTATTTACAAACGAAAGATAGTGCTCTGGACCAGAGAAATTGCCCTTTGTGTTTATTGTAGCTAGAACAAAAGCTATATGTAAATAACCGCAATTTTGTAGATGTTTATTTAACTTTGGCCGATTCGTGTTTGTCGTTTGGCCGGATTTGAATTTTTGTCTAGGCAAAAAATTTCAAATTTTCTAAACCATGTTTTAAAATTCTGAAATATAATGTAGATACACTATAAAAACGATGATATTCTTCATCAATTAATTACCCATAAACGTACCTCATTTTCAGTTTAATTTTTAGAAAGTTTGTTGAAAAAATAGGACATATCAATTATTAGGAAATAGGAGCATAACCTGCTGTAAATTTATTACTTAATAGCACAAAAAGGTCACTTTACAGTGCTGTTTCTAAATTATGGTGCTAAACTGAAATGGGAGCTAGCAAGCATGATTTTAAACAAATCCTTTTCTATGAACATCATAGAGAATCAATTAATTTCAAACACATTCCATACAATTAAATATTACTTCATTTTTTAAACGGGACAGTATGTAGAGTCGAACACTATCAGCCATTACT